CTTTAATAAATCCACGCCTCAGTTGGCCCTTGAAAAATATTCTTTAATAAATCCACGCCTCAGTTGGCCCTTGAAAAATATTCTTTAATAAATCCACGCCTACTTGGCCCTTAAAAAAATAATCCACGCCTCATGTTGGAATTAAAAATATCTTTAATAAATCCACGCCTCAGTTGGCCCTTGAAAAATATTCTTTAATAAATCCACGCCTCAGTTGGCCCTTGAAAAATATTCTTTAATAAATCCACGCCTCAGTTGGCCCTTGAAAAATAATCTTTAATAAATCCACGCCTCAGTTTGGCCCTTGAAAAATATTCTTTTATAAATCCACGCCTCAGTTGGCCCTTTAAAAATATTCTTTAATAAATCTTTAATAAATCCACTCCTCAGATGGCCCTCGAAAACCTATTCTTTAATAAATCCACGCCTCAGTTGGCCCTTGAAAAATATTCTTTAATAAATCCACGCCTCAGTTGGCCCTTGAAAAATATTCTTTAATAAATCCACGCCTCAGTTGGCCCTTGAAAAATATTCTTTAATAAATCCACGCCTCAGTTGGCCCTTGAAAAATATTCTTTAATAAATCCACGCCTCAGTTGGCCCTTGAAAAATATTCTTTAATAAATCCACGCCTCAGTTGGCCCTTGAAAAATATTCTTTAATAAATCCACGCCTCAGTTGGCCCTTGAAAAATATTCTTTAATAAATCCACGCCTCAGTTGGCCCTTGAAAAATATTCTTTAATAAATCCACGCCTCAGTTGGCCCTTGAAAAATATTCTTTAATAAATCCACGCCTCAGTTGGCCCTTGAAAAATATTCTTTAATAAATCCACGCCTCAGTTGGCCCTTGAAAAATATTCTTTAATAAATCCACGCCTCAGTTGGCCCTTGAAAAATATTCTTTAATAAATCCACGCCTCAGTTGGCCCTTGAAAAATATTCTTTTATTAATCCACGCCTCAGTTGGCCCTTGAAAAATATTTTTAATAAATCCACGCCTCAGTTGGCCCTTGAAAAATATTCTTTAATAAATCCACGCCTCAGTTGGCCCTTGAAAAATATTCTTTAATAAATCCACGCCTCAGTTGGCCCTTGAAAAATATTTTTAATAAATCCACGCCTCAGTTGGCCCTTGAAAAATATTCTTTAATAAATCCACGCCTCAGTTGGCCCTTGAAAAATATTCTTTAATAAATCCACGCCTCAGTTGGCCCTTGAAAAATATTCTTTAATAAATCCACGCCTCAGTTGGCCCTTGAAAAATATTCTTTAATAAATCCACGCCTCAGTTGGCCCTTGAAAAATATTCTTTAATAAATCCACGCCTCAGTTGGCCCTTGAAAAATATTCTTTAATAAATCCACGCCTCAGTTGGCCCTTGAAAAATATTCTTTAATAAATCCACGCCCAGTTGGCCCTTGAAAAATATTCTTTAATAAATCCACGCCTCAGTTGGCCCTTGAAAAATATTCTTTAATAAATCCACGCCTCAGTTGGCCCTTGAAAAATATTCTTTAATAAATCCACGCCTCAGTTGGCCCTTGAAAAATATTCTTTAATAAATCCACGCCTCAGTTGGCCCTTGAAAAATATTCTTTAATAAATCCACGCCTCAGTTGGCCCTTGAAAAATATTCTTTAATAAATCCACGCCTCAGTTGGCCCTTGAAAAATATTCTTTAATAAATCCACGCCTCAGTTGGCCCTTGAAAAATATTCTTTAATAAATCCACGCCTCAGTTGGCCCTTGAAAAATATTCTTTAATAAATCCACGCCTCAGTTGGCCCTTGAAAAATATTCTTTAATAAATCCACGCCTCAGTTGGCCCTTGAAAAATATTCTTTAATAAATCCACGCCTCAGTTGGCCCTTGAAAAATATTCTTTAATAAATCCACGCCTCAGTTGGCCCTCAGTTGGCCCTTGAAAAATATTCTTTAATAAATCCACGCCTCAGTTGGCCCTTGAAAAATATTCTTTAATAAATCCACGCCTCAGTTGGCCCTTGAAAAATATTCTTTAATAAATCCACGCCTCAGTTGGCCCTTGAAAAATATTCTTTAATAAATCCACGCCTCAGTTGGCCCTTGAAAAATATTCTTTAATAAATCCACGCCTCAGTTGGCCCTTGAAAAATATTCTTTAATAAATCCACGCCTCAGTTGGCCCTTGAAAAATATTCTTTAATAAATCCACGCCTCAGTTGGCCCTTGAAAAATATTCTTTAATAAATCCACGCCTCAGTTGGCCCTTGAAAAATATTCTTTAATAAATCCACGCCTCAGTTGGCCCTTGAAAAATATTCTTTAATAAATCCACGCCTCAGTTGGCCCTTGAAAAATATTCTTTAATAAATCCACGCCTCAGTTGGCCCTTGAAAAATATTCTTTAATAAATCCACGCCTCAGTTGGCCCTTGAAAAATATTCTTTAATAAATCCACGCCTCACGCCTCAGTTGGCCCTTGAAAAATATTCTTTAATAAATCCACGCCTCAGTTGGCCCTTGAAAAATATTCTTTAATAAATCCACGCCTCAGTTGGCCCTTGAAAAATATTCTTTAATAAATCCACGCCTCAGTTGGCCCTTGAAAAATATTCTTTAATAAATCCACGCCTCAGTTGGCCCTTGAAAAATATTCTTTAATAAATCCACGCCTCAGTTGGCCCTTGAAAAATATTCTTTAATAAATCCACGCCTCAGTTGGCCCTTGAAAAATATTCTTTAATAAATCCACGCCTCAGTTGGCCCTTGAAAAATATTCTTTAATAAATCCACGCCTCAGTTGGCCCTTGAAAAATATTCTTTAATAAATCCACGCCTCAGTTGGCCCTTGAAAAATATTCTTTAATAAATCCACGCCTCAGTTGGCCCTTGAAAAATATTCTTTAATAAATCCACGCCTCAGTTGGCCCTTGAAAAATATTCTTTAATAAATCCACGCCTCAGTTGGCCCTTGAAAAATATTCTTTAATAAATCCACGCCTCAGTTGGCCCTTGAAAAATATTCTTTAATAAATCCACGCCTCAGTTGGCCCTTGAAAAATATTCTTTAATAAATCCACGCCTCAGTTGGCCCTTGAAAAATATTCTTTAATAAATCCACGCCTCAGTTGGCCCTTGAAAAATATTCTTTAATAAATCCACGCCTCAGTTGGCCCTTGAAAAATATTCTTTAATAAATCCACGCCTCAGTTGGCCCTTGAAAAATATTCTTTAATAAATCCACGCCTCAGTTGGCCCTTGAAAAATATTCTTTAATAAATCCACGCCTCAGTTGGCCCTTGAAAAATATTCTTTAATAAATCCACGCCTCAGTTGGCCCTTGAAAAATATTCTTTAATAAATCCACGCCTCAGTTGGCCCTTGAAAAATATTCTTTAATAAATCCACGCCTCAGTTGGCCCTTGAAAAAATATTCTTTAATAAATCCACGCCTCAGTTGGCCCTTGAAAAATATTCTTTAATAAATCCACGCCTCAGTTGGCCCTTGAAAATATTCTTTAATAAATCCACGCCTCAGTTGGCCCTTGAAAAATATTCTTTAATAAATCCACGCCTCAGTTGCCCCTTGAAAAATATTCTTTAATAAATCCACGCCTCAGTTGGCCCTTGAAAAATATTCTTTAATAAATCCACGCCTCAGTTGGCCCTTGAAAAATATTCTTTAATAAATCCACGCCTCAGTTGGCCCTTGAAAAATATTCTTTAATAAATCCACGCCTCAGTTGGCCCTTGAAAAATATTCTTTAATAAATTTCACGCCTCAGTTGGCCCTTGAAAAATATTCTTTAATAAATCCACGCCTCAGTTGGCCCTTGAAAAATATTCTTTAATAAATCCACGCCTCAGTTGGCCCTTGAAAAATATTCTTTAATAAATCCACGCCTCAGTTGGCCCTTGAAAAATATTCTTTAATAAATCCACGCCTCAGTTGGCCCTTGAAAAATATTCTTTCATAAATCCACGCCTCAGTTGGCCCTTGAAAAATATTCTTTAGTAAATCCACGCCTCAGTTGGCCCTTGAAAAATATTCTTTAATTAATCCACGCCTCAGTTGGCCCTTGAAAAATATTCTTTAATAAATCCACGCCTCAGTTGGCCCTTGAAAAATATTCTTTAATAAATCCACGCCTCAGTTGGCCCTTGAAAAATATTCTTTAATAAATCCACGCCTCAGTTGGCCCTTGAAAAATATTCTTTAATAAATCCACGCCTCAGTTGGCCCTTGAAAAATATTCTTTAATAAATCCACGCCTCAGTTGGCCCTTGAAAAAAATTCTTTAATAAATCCACGCCTCAGTTGGCCCTTGAAAAATATTCTTTAATAAATCCACGCCTAAGTTGGCCCTTGAAAAATTTTCTTTAATAAATCCACGCCTCAGCTGGCCCTTGAAAAATATTCTTTAATAAATCCACGCCTCAGTTGGCCCTTGAAAAATCAAATTGTAATAAATCCACGCCATTTCAGTTGGCCCTTGAAAAATATCAATAAATCCACGCCTAGTTGGCCCTGAATATATTCTATTAATAAAAATTCTCAGTTGGCCCTTGAAAAATATTCTTTAATAAATCCACGCCTCAGTTGGCCCTTGAAAAATATTCTTTAATAAATCCACGCCTCAGTTGGCCCTTGAAAAAAATATTCTTTAATAAATCCACGCCTCAGTTGGCCCTTGAAAAATATTCTTTAATAAATCCACGCCTCAGTTGGCCCTTGAAAAATATTCTTTAATAAATCCACGCCTCAGTTGGCCCTTGAAAAATATTCTTTAATAAATCCACGCCTCAGTTGGCCCTTGAAAAATATATTCTTTAATAAATCCACGCCTCAGTTGGCCCTTGAAAAATATTCTTTAATAAATCCACGCCTCAGTTGGCCCTTGAAAAATATTCTTTAATAAATTCACGCCTCAGATAAATCCCCACCTATGGCTGCCCTGCAAAAATATTCTTTAAATAAATCCGCACCCCTTGTTACTCACCATATTACACTCCTTGAGAACACAGGCTCGAAAACATTTCGCTTTCTCATTTTGTGCCGGTTTTTGATCAATAAAATCGGACAGGTCGGCTGAAAAAAAATAAACAATTTTTTGTTTTCAATAATTATTTGAAAAATAAAATTATATTTGAATATTAGTTACCTTTTGATATCCCCGAATCCTCCATACACTGTTTGTAGACCATTTTCAAGCGATCACCAATGCAAAGGGGCTGTGGAGGTATAAAAAATTAAAATTTGAAAAAAAAACAAAATTTTTTTTTCAAACTCACCGTAAAATCCAATTGACCATAACATCCAAGAATGGAAGAAGAATATAGAAAAAGGAGAAGATAAAATTTCATATTTAGATTTTTGTTCTCAACTTTTTCAAAAAACACCAACAAACTGTATTGAAAATTGTTTACAAAAATGGACGAAAAACATGTCACTGCCTTCCTTTATAAAGATTTCCTGCAAATGCTGAGATCAATTTATTTTCGTTTGTCTTAAAAGAGTTATTAAATTTTCAAATAACAAAATTACACTAGGCTACAAAAATGACAACAAAAGTTCCTTCACATGCCTGCTTGAAAAGTATTTAAAATAAATTACGCCCTTGGTCCTCTGAAAAATATTATTTTAAAAATCCAGACCTAAGGCGGCCTTGAAAAGTCAAATTGTAAATTGTAAAGCCATTTCAGTTGGAGAACAGATCAATATACCCTTCGTCCTATAGGGGCGAATGTATAAATTATAAAATAAAAACTCTGGAGTCTCGAATATTACTAATAATTCTTATTGAATAAAAAATAAATTATACATCCAAAAATCCGAGGTTTTATATTTTTAAAGAAAAATTATCGATAACTATTTTTCCCCAATAAAAACTTCACCAAGACTGTCTTGAAAAAATATGCTTTAATAAATACACCCCTCAGAGTCCTCTGACAAAACATTATTTAATAAATCTACGCCTCAGAGTCCTCTGAAAAAAAATATATTTTTTTTTTTAAATCCACGCCTATGGTTGCTCTAAAAAAATATTCTTTAATAAATCCATGCTTTCGGATGGGTATCCTAAATATATTATTTTAAAATATTCCGCTGAAAAAAATATTCTCTGTAGCTTAGTGTTATCGATTTTTTTTTTAATTTCGTGATGCTGTAATTCAAAATTGACAATAAATGTTATACCGAAGTGTGTTAAAGGCTGACAAATTTTAGTACCGGAGTTCATTAACATTAATTAACAAATTATTTATTACTGTTATTGTCGTTTTTTTATTTTTATTATTATTTTTTTTTTATTTGAAAATATTATATAAACTGCAATTATGTTTTTATTGACACTTTTTCAATTTGTTATACAAAAATCGTTGAGGTGAGCGGAATTGACGCCATAAAAACATAAATATTTTTATTGCATTTGAAATCAAATCGCTGCAGGTGATTGGCCCACAAAAAACGTCACGATAAATTCTCCACAAGTGGGCAAAATTTATTATATCCAGAATTCGGAAGAATAAATTCACAAAAATCCTGGCCTATATTCTTACTTGAAAATATATTTAAAAAAACGACAACAATGCAATATATATTTTTTTTCCAAAATTCTAAACAAAAATCCACTCCAAAAATCCTTGACTATACTCTTGATGAAACATATATTTAAAAAAAAAAAATCCTAAACATAATTCAATTTGAAAAAATATGTATATATAAATCTTCACCTTTGGTACAACTTCAAAAAATATTCACAAATTTTAAATAATTCGACGATTAAGGCACTGCATAAAAAATAATTATTTAAAAAAAAATCTATGCCTTAGGTACGTCAATAAAAAAATATTACGCCTAAGGTTACAAAATCCATGCCCAGGTTCCTACTAACACACTTTATCCTAAAATCAATGGTCTCAATCAAACATATATAGGGAGTTTGACGGAGCTATATCTAAATCTGAGCCGATTTCTTCAAAATTTAACACACATCATTATAGACTGAAGTCAAAACGCTATGTAAAATTTCTAATTTACATAAAATCGAATGAAAATATATGGGAGCTATATCTGATCAGATTTCAACGAAACTTCGCACACATCATTCTAGACGCAATACGGTATGGTATTCCAAATTTCGTCTCAATCGGACAAACAATGGGAGTTTGGTGCACTATTTACATAAAATCGGACATGAATATATATGGGAGCTATATTAAAATCTGAATCGATTTCCCCGAAACTTCGCACACATCGTTATAGATTCAATTCAATACGCTGTGCTAAATTTCGTCTCAATCGGACAAATAATGGTGAAGCATTTGCCTAAAATCGGACACGAATATATATGGGAATTATATCAAAATCTTAATCGATTTTAACGAAACTTCGCACACATCATTCTAGGCTCAATTTAATACGCTATGCAAATTTTCGTCTCAATCGGACAAATATTGGGAGTTTGGTATACTATTTACTTAAAATCAGACGGAAAATATATGGGTGCCATATCTAAATATGAATCGATTTCAACGAAACTTCGCACACATTATTATAGGCACAACACGGTATGGTATTCCAAATTTTGTCTAAATCTGACAAACCTTGGTAGTTTTGTGCACCATTTACCTAAAATCGGATGAAAAAATATATATGAGATATATCTAAATCTGAACCGATTTTCAGGAAACTTAACACACATCATTCTAGACCTAATTCAGTACACTATGCCAAATTTCGTGCAATTCGAACGATATATAGTGTCTTTCGTGTCCCATTTATGTTCAATCGGACGAAAATATATAAGGGAGCTATATCTAAATCTGGGCCGATTTTTACGAAACTTGGCAGACATCATTCTAGACCTTATTCATTACGCTGTGCCAAATTTCGTGCAAATCGAAAGGTATATAGGGACCGTTTACATTACCTTAAATCGGACGAAAATATATATGGGAGCTATATGTAAATCTCAACCGATTTTTCCCAATTTCAATATGGTTCATCCTTGGACCGAACAAGTGGGCTGTGTCAAATTTCATCGCATTCGGATCATAAATGTGCCTTGTTCTTTGTTAACAATTTTACATGGACAGACAGACATACGGACGGACGAACATGCATAAATCGACTCAAAAAGTGATTCTATGCATATTCTCAAAAGGAACCCTGGGTCTATCTCGTTTCCTTTTGCCTGTTGCAAATATATACACAAATACATAATACCCTGTCCCACAGTGTGGTGAAGGGTATAAAAATCGCATTCTGGGAAACACCTTGACAAATATTTTGAAAAATTCCCATCCCAAGTTCCCACATATACTTTCTATGTGGGTATTTTTCAAAATTATATTTTCCAACTTGACACTACTAGGTGGAAAAAATTTTGAAAATATATTTTCAATTAGAAAAAATATTTTGTTAAATACCCACATACGGTGCAGTTGGAAAAATATTTCCCAAAAAATCACCATCTTATAATCATTTTTGAAAACTAGTTTGGAAAAAATTATAAAATAATATAAAAATATTTAAAAAAATCTCCATCTACTACACAGCATAAAATAAAATAATTATTAAATAAAAATAACCAAAAAGGGTACATCCTGAAAAAATTTTTTAAAAATTCCATTTTTTTTTCAAAAAAAAAAAAAAAAAAATAAAAATGTTCGGTAATCATGATAAAATTTTTTTTTTTAGAAAAAATCCACCTTGGATACACTTAAAAAATGTTTTTTTTTAATATGCACTTAGCATACAGCATAAAAACAATTATTGCAATATCTAGACGTTTATAAAAAAATATTCGATTTTTTTTAATTTACAATTATCTTAACCCAAACAAATTTCAACACTGAATTCAATACCTTCCAATTAAATTTTTTTTGTTTATTTTATTATTTTGTCAATATATATTTTTCTCTTATTTATTTATTTCCTCTCCTTTACACAATTTTTTTCCAATAACTCAATTTCTTTTGTGGTTTACCAATCCATTGGCTAGTGTTTCAGCTTGTTCTAAATCTATTATTTAACAAAGAAAAGAAAAAACATTTTCAATATTTTCTTGTGATTTTGTTGTATTTTTTTATTGAGTTGTATTTTTTTATTTTTATTATTATTTTTAAATATTACGGTTTTTACAAAATCATCATGAAAAAAAATCAAAACAAAAAAAAAAGAAAAAAAATTAAAAAATGATGTGAAATTTATTTAAATAAAATAAAAATTAGAAGCTATACTGAATGGCTAGAGAGAAATGTCCAAACAGTTTAACGTAATTTTAAATAAAAAAACACAAGGAGTCTATATTCAAAATGAATGGGATGGGTAAAAGGAAAGGAGAATGTGTTTTTGTATAAATCTATTTAATTTGTTTTTTTTTCTTATTTAATTTTTTTTTGCTTTATAATCTTTTTTATTTAATAATTTTCTTTTTTATTTTCTTGTTTTTGTTTTTTTTTAATATAAAATGGAGATGTTTTTTGTTTCTGTTTTCTTTTCTTGTTTTACTAACTTAATACTTAGATTACTATAACTAACATTTAAGTATATATGTATATCTGTCTGTCTGTTTTTGTTTTCTTTTAGATTTTACATCTCCAAACTATTTCATCTATGCCTTAAGGCCATGACGGAACGAAAAAAATGAATATGTTTGGTTGAAGTTTGTTTTTTGTTTTCCAATTTTTTAAAGGATTTAAAAAAATTGGTTTAACTTCCCGAAAAAAATTAAAGGATACCTTGAAATGTTTTGTATTTTGTTTTTTTTTTATAAATTTTTTTATTATTTTATTTTGTTTTTTATTTATTTTTTTTATTGTAGTTCGTCAACATTTGATATTGATTATCTTTTGTTTTATTTTTTTTATTCTTGATGTGTGGCTTTGCGTTTTTCTTTTTTTTTTTGTGATTTAATAGTAGTGAGTAATAGTAGTTTATAGTCTAGAGGGATTGATGGTGGCATTGTTGTTGTTGCTGTTCTGTTCTGCTGTTGTTATTTTTGTTGGGGTTTTCTTAATTTTACTTTTAAAGGAAATAATCGGCTTGAGGCTTTTTCGAGGGTATACCTCGACTTTCTTGTGGTGCTGCTTCGAATATAACAAAATCACGATGCAGGTACTCGTTTAGTTCCAATATAGCTGCCACATTGCCACATCTGGAAAACAGAAAGAAAAAGAAGGAATTAATAAAAATAAAATAATGGGATTATACTCCTTAAAGAAAAGCTTCAAATCCTCACTTAAAGAAAAGCTTCAAAAATCTTAAAAAAAATATTTAAAAAAAAAAATCCAACAAAGGGTACAGCTTGAAAAAAAGCGCATAAATACTTACAAAAAATCCCCCACCAATGAAAAGAAACAGAAATATATAATAAAATCCTTTAAAAAGGGCGTCCGGAAAGTCTCAAAAAATCGAATATTGGTGTTACTGTTCTGTGGGGGCTATACGAAAACTTGAGCCGATTTTGATAATTTTTGGCAGGTAGGTTTAACAACCAATTAGAAACCATTATATAAAATTGCAGGCATATTGGATAAAAAAAAGTTACCCAAATCCCCAAAATAGCGAAATTTGGGAGGTGTGGCTATATGGAGGCTATCCTAAAAATTTGACAAATTTTCATAATTTTTGGTAGGACGATGTATTATCCAATGAGAACCTAAAATATTAAATTACAGCTAATTTGGTTGAAAATGTGCCGAAATATCCCTAAAATACCGAATATTGGTGGTATCGTTATATGGGGGCTACCAGAAAAACTTCACCAATATTGATAATTTTTGGTAGGGAGATTCTGCACTTAATGAGAACCAAACATACCTAATTACAGTCAATTCGGTTAAAAAAGGTGCCCAAGCTCCCCAAATTATCGAAATTTTGAAGGTACTGCTCCATGGGTGCTACCATAAAATGTAGACCAATATTGATAATTTTTGGCTGAAATTTTTGACAAAATATAAAATTACCGCCAATTTGGTTGAAAATCTAGCCCAAGCTCCCCAAAATACAGAAATATGCGCGGTACTTTTATATGGGGGCTTACCTTAAAAAGTTGGACAATATTGATAATTTTTGGTAGGGAGATTCTCCACTTAATGAGAACCCAAAATACCCACTTACAGCCAATTCGTTTGAAAAATGTGCCCAAGCTCCCCAAAATATATAAAACTGGGAGGTACTGCTATATGGGGGCTACACCAAAAACTTGATCAATATTGATAAATTTTGGTAGGGAGATTTTCTGCCCAATTAGAATTCAAAATATAAAATTACAGCCTATTTGGTTGAAAATCGTGCCCATTCTCACCAAAATATCGAAATTTGGGAGGCAACGTTTTATGCGGAATACCCTGAAACTTGGGCCAATATTGATAATTTTTGGTAGGGAGATTCTCCACTTAATGAGAACCCAAAATACCTAATTACAGCCAATTCGGTTGAAAAATTTGTCCAAGCTCCCTAAAATATAGAAATTTGGAAGGTACTGTTATATGAGGTTTACCAGAAAAACTTCACCAATATTGATAATTTTTGGTAGGGTGATTCCCTACTATATGAGAACCCAAAATGCCTAATTACAGTCAATTAGCTTGAAAAATGTGTCCAAGCTCCCAAAAATATCGAAATTGTGAAGATGCCGCTCTATGGGGGCTACCCTAAAAAGTTAATCAATATGTATAATTTTTGGTAGGGAGATTATCTACTTAATTATGAACCAAAATATAAAATTAAAGCCAATTTGGCTGAAAATCTTGCCCAATCTCATCCAAACATCGAAATTTGGGAGGCAACGTTATATGGGGACTACCCTGAAATTTCGGCCAATATGGATAATTTTTGTTAGGGAGATTTTCTATTCAATTATAAACCAAAATATAAAATTAGAGCCAATTTGTTTGAAAAATATGCTCAAGCTCCCCAAAATATAGAAATCTGGGTGGTACTGTTATATGGGGGCTATCAGAAAAACTTGACCAATATTGATAATTTTTGGAAGGGAGATTTTCCACTTAATGAGAATCCAATATACAAAATTACAGCCAATTTTTGAAAAATGTGCCCAAACTTCCCAAAATGTCGAAATTTTGAAGGTACCGCTCTATGGGGACTACCATAAAATGTAGACCAATATGGATAATTTTGGTAAGGATATTTTTTCTTAATGATATCCCAAAATACCAAATTACAGGAATTTTGCTTGAAAAATGTGCTGAATAATGAGGGGTAGAATAATGGGGACCGTCCTGAAATTTGGACCAATATTCATAATTTTTGGTAGGAAGATTATTTACCTAATAAGTATCAGAAATATAAAATTATAGTCAATTTGGTTGAAAACATAGAAATTTGGGTGGCAACGTTATAAGAGGACTACCCTGAAACTTCGGCCAATATTCATAATTTTTGGTAGGGAGATTTTCTACTCAATTAGATTTTAAAATATAAAATTACAGCCACTTTGGTTGAAAAATGTGTCCAAGCTACCCAAAATATAGAAAGGTACTGCTATATGGGGACTACCCTAAAACTTGGACCAATATTGATAATTTTTGGTGGGGAGATTTTCTACTCAATTATAATCCAAAATAAAAAAAATACAGTCAATTCAGTTGAAAAACGTGCCTAAAATCCACAAATTCGGAAATTTAAGAGAGACAACGGTATATGGGGAATACCCTGAAATTAGGACCAATATTGATAATTATTGGCAGGAAGATTTTGTACCTAATAAGAATTCAAAATATAATATTAAGGCCAATTTGTTTGGAAAACGTGCTAAAATTTCTCAAAATATCGAAATTCGTGAAGCAACGTTATACGGGGACTACCCTGAAACTTAGGCCAATATTGATAATTTTTGGTATTAAGATTTCAAAATATAAAATTACAGCCAATTTTGTTGAAAATCCTGCCCAAACTTACAAAAAATACAAAATTTAGAATTTTCCGCTCTATGGGGGCTATCCTAAAATGTTGATCAATATCAATAATTTTTGGTACGAGGATTTACTATTAAATGAAGACTGTAATTATCAAATTACAGTCAAATCGCTTTTAAGAATTGCCCAAAATTCCGAATATTGGGGGTATCGTTATATGGGAACTAACCCGTATTTTGGGACAACATTCATAATTTTTGGTAGGAAAATTTGCCTGCCTGCCAATGGGAACCTCATGTACCAAATTTCAGTCAATTTGGTTAGAATTAGTGTCCAAAATCCCCTATATAACGAATATTTGGGTGGTACCATTATATGGGTGCTATACCAAAAATTGCGCCGATATATCCCATTTTCAGTACCAAACATCCTAGAAGTTGTAACAATGTATGTGTGAATGTTCAAAGCTCTATCTTAAATATTGGAAGTTCTATCGTGATTTCAATTGACGGACAGGGCTATAATTTAATTCTGATCAAAAATGGGGTCTCCCGTGATTATATCGAGGTACTGTAAAACGGAATGACAAATTTAACAAACACTACCAGCTTATGATGGAGGTCATATAAATCCCGATATCGAGTAGTGATGAAAATATTTAAATTTTAAATTTCAGGCCCTTATAGTACGTTTACATTGTACTGGATTTCGTTAACACCGAGGGTTTAAATTGCCAAATTCCTTTGAAAATGTGTCAAATAAATCCTCATGAAGGTTAATATTTCTAATGTATATGTCGTTTAAGGAACTACTTGAAAAAATCCTTTTTGAAAAATTCTAACTGCAAAATAAATGTTAAATTAAAAATTTGATTTAAATATTTCATTTCCACTCACCTATAACAGTAATTCGGTGCCGACCACACCGTGAGTACAGCTTCTCCGAAATGCCACTTGAAACCCTCCATAACCAGCTGATGGGCACGACATATCATATCGATGTCATTGGTACGGGTAAATTGCATAACAACATCAGCTCCAAATAAATATCCCGCTCCACGAGGTGATACACCCCAACCGGTTTGATCCTCTGGATCGGACCACAACAAATCACACATAGGACCATCATGCGGCACTTCCTGTTTACGATCTATGGTACGAATTTGATCTAAATACTGTATGGATGGTGATAGGCCACCGTGGACACAAAAGATTTTACCATCAATGATGGCCGATAGCGATAGATAATCAAAGATTTCGGTGCAGTAACGCCACACAGCCGTCGAACCATATTTTCGTAGACATTCATCATAGAAACCATAGACTTGGGTAATTTGACGAGATTCATGATTACCTCGAATCAATGTGATGCGATCGGGATAACGTACCTTGAGTGCGAGGAGCAGAAGAAATGTCTCCACACTATAGTAACCGCGATCGACAAAATCTCCCATAAAGAGATAATTTTTCTCTGGAACATCTCCGCCAACTTTAAACAGCTCCTTGAGGTCATAGAACTGACCATGAATGTCACCGCACACGGTTACCGGTGAATCGACACGTTGAACATTACCCTCCTCGACAAGGATCTCACGGGCCTTGGCACACAAGGCTTTCACTTCATTCTCTTTGATTATTTCACAGCGTTTGAGCTGCTCAATTTGCCGATCCAAATCACTGTAATCAGTCATAGTGTCAGTCTGTCAGGGTTGGTTGGTTGGCTGCGAGCGAGCGTATGTATTAGCGGCAAGGCGAGCAAGTGTGTTTGTATGTGTGTGTTTGAAGTAAATCTTCCAAAGCAATGAACCTCCAATAAATGGCAGGTGTTCGGAAAAAATGTTGTGATTCCAAAAATAAAACAATTCCTAAATTGAAGATCCTTTGAGGGGTACTGGCTGCTACTGCTACCCAGTTTAAATGTTGACTCACACAAATCTGCAAAGAGGGGGGAAAAACACAAACAATCATTAAATGGTTTTTCAACAAATTTCGAAATTATTTTTTGCATAAATGTAGACACTGAAACCTTGAGTTATAGGCCCGGTATTCCCCTCTGGCCAAATTCAGCAAATCTCTCCCTGGGCCATATTTTGGAACAACTCTAGTTTAGTAAAAACGATCAAATTTTTCTGAAATTTTTTCCAGAGGTAGGTATTTTTACCCTAATTATGGGGATATCTTTTTTTCTTGGGGGACGTACCCGGTTACCCGGTTATTTGACCCGGAAGTTCGGGTACGGGTACCCGGTTATATCCGGTTCTACGGATCCGGTTAATATAATATGGGTATCATTTTAAAGGTTATAAAAATACCTTTCCATTGAGTGGTAATATGATGGGGTTATCTCAAACCATTTTGGGGATATAGTCAAAAAACTGGGTTTTGGTCCCCGATTTTTTTGAAAAACTCCCTAAAAGTCGAACTTGGGTCCATTATAGTCCCTCTCCAAACAGGACCCAAATGATAGACCACAATTTGCCCTTTCCAAAATGGTGCGATATGTGGCTGTATCTGTTGTGGATCAAAAGATATGGGCCTTAGAACCCTATAAAAACAAGGAAAATCTTTCTACATGACAGAATCTCCTTTTAAATAGCATGGTGTTTTTTGGGTGACCGGCCTTCGGCCGGGCATTTAAGACTTTCTCCTATGGACAGATGCCAACACCGGCTACGCGACAGTAAGAATATTTTTTTTGGGTTTCGGCCGGGCATTCTTTCTCCTATGGACAAAACACCGGCTAACGCGGCAGAAACTCCTTCTAAATAGAATATTTTTTTGTGTAGCCGGCCTTCGGCCGGGTATTTAAGTATTTCTCCAATGGACAGATACCAACACCGGCTACGCGACAGAATCTCTTGTTAAATGGAATACTTTGTTGGGTGGCCGGCCTTCGGCCGGGGATTTAAGACTTTCTCCTATGGACAGATGCCAACACCGGCTAACGCGGCAGAAAATCCTTCTGGGGATTTAAAACTTTCACCTATGGACAGATGCCAACACCGGCTAACGCGGCAGAAAATCCTTCTAAATAGAATATTTTTTGTGTAGCCGGCCTTCGGCCGGGGAATTTAAAACTTTCTCCTATGGACAGATACCAACACCGGCTACGCGACAGAATCTCTTGTTAAATGGAATATTTTTTTTGGGTGACCGGCCTTCGGCCGGGGATTTAAGACTTTCACCTATGGACAGATGCCAACACCGGCTAACGCGGCAGAAAATCCTTCTAAATAGAATATTTTTTGTGTAGCCGGCCTTCGGCCGGGGATTTAAGACTTTCTCCTATGGACAGATACCAACACCGGCTACGCGACAGAATTTTCTTGTTTTTGTAGGGTTCTAAGGCCCATATCTTTTGATCCACAACAGATACAGCCACATATCGCACCATTTTGGAAAGGGCAAATTGTGGTCTATCATTTGAGTTTGGGTTAGAGAGGTACTATAATGGGCCCAAGTTCGACTTTTAGGGAGTTTTTAAAAAAAATCGGGGACCAAAACCCAGTTTTTTGACTATATCTCCAAAATGGTTTGAGATAACCCCATCATATTACCACTCAATGGAAAGGTATTTTTATAACCTTTAAAATGATACCCATATTATATTAACCGGATCCGTAGAACCGGATATAACCGGGTACCCGTACCCGAACTTCCGGGTCAAATAACCGGGTAACCGGGTACGTCCCCCAAGAAAAAAAGATATCCCCATAATTAGGGTAAAAATACCTACCTCTGGAAAATTTTTCAGAAAAATCTGATCGTTTTTACTAAACTAGAGTTAAGCCCATATTTTTTACATCTACGAAGCCATGTTTGCCCTGTGGCCTCGATAACACCACTACCAGGTTTCTCTTGCAAAATTTCACAGCACTCTGGAGACAAGGTTGGAAGACTCAATGATGGCCTGACTCACTGACTGGCCACTCTCTGCACCAACTTCAAGCCATACAATATTTATTTTTCACAAAACGATGCTCACCTTTTTTTGACAAAAACACCAACAAAAAAACCAAACACTTTTTTCTTGGCTGCTGCTGTTTTTCTTTCTTTTTCCTTTTCACTCCTTTTCCACCAAAATTCCACACTTTACATTACTTGTTGTTTCTTTGCGTCGTCGTTGCCGTTTTGTTTTTCATATTTTTGGCGTAATTATTGCTTCCGCTTTTCTATTGTTTTTCCATTAAAAAAAATAAAATATATTATCCAAAAAGAAGCAGCAACTTCCACTCGTAATTGACGAAAGAAAACAACAAAAGAATGAAATTTGTCGTGACGCTTGCTAAAAGTTATCGATGGCAATGCGGGTTAATCGGTTGTTATCGGACACTCTCCCTCTCATACACACGCTCTCTCACCCAACATTCGACCACTCGTGCAAAAACAAATCAACTTTGTTTTGCGGTTAGCGGGTATTTTAGTGCTGTGCAATGGCTAAGGGTAATGATTAACCGCCATTTTCATCACGTACACCGAACAGTGGTGTCAATGCAGCGTTTTTTATCAAGGGAAATGTGTGGATTTATTTGTAGTAAAGGAAAATTAATGGAAAATGAGGATTAAAAAATATAAATAAATATATGTAAATAAAATAAATTAAAATAAAATTAATTAAATAAAAAAAATCAAATAAAAATTAAAATAAATTTAAAATTAAAAAAAAATTGAATACGATATATAAAAATACATAAAATAAACATAAAGTAAAGTTAAAAATAAGCAAACATTAAAATAAATTGTAACAAATTAAATTAAAATAATAGAATAATAAATTAATAAAATTTACTAAATATAAATAAATAAGATATAAATGAAATTAAAATAAATTAAACTAAACTCAAATAAATATAAATAAAAAATAATAACTTTACTTAGTTGGCTTGTTACAGAACGGTTGTTCCATAAGCCGAGATTAAAAAAGATTTCCGCTGGTTCGATGTTGTTTTCTTTTATATGCATTTTGGGCCATCAGTAGGCTCGCTTTTATATGCCTTTTGAGCTGGCGCATTCTCATTCATTCGCACAGCATAGCCTAGCCATCGTAGTCGCTGCAGCTCAATACGACTATGTCGATGTCGGCGTATAAATTATAAAGCTCGTGGTTCATTCGACGTCGATATTCACCGTCAACGCAGATCGGCCAGTAAATCTTTCGGAGGATTTTTCTTTCAAACACCCCAAGAGCTGCCTCATCTGCTTGCGTAAGTACCCATGCTTCAGATCCATATAACAGCACGGGTGGTATCAGCGTCTTGTAGAGTGATAGTTCTGACGGGAGGTGGCCTTGTTTATAAAATGCTTACTCAGACCATAGCAGCATCCGTTGGGCAACACAGTTCTTCTGCGAATTTCAAAACTGGTGTTATTAGTTTTATTTATGGCGGTACTGAGGTTTATAAAATCGTTCACGGCCCCGAATCTGTTGGTTTCAAGTTCCACAGTTGGTCCGAGTCTACTGGACGTCTTGCGCGTTGATACCATCAGCTTGCTCTTCTCGCCGTTTACTGCCAGACCCACTTTGGAAGACTCCTTCTCAATTTTTTCAAAGTGGCAATGTTCGACCCATTATATCGATGTCTTCCAGCAGGATGTTTAAAAGATCACACGACAAACAGTCACCTTGTCTGAATCTTCGTTCGGTATTGAAGGGCTTCGATATGTCCTTTCCGACTTCAACTGCTGATCTTGTGCCAGTTAAAGTTATCCTGCATAGAAGTGTTAATTTTGCAGGAATGTCAAACGCAGACATGGCTTTATACACCTCTGAACGGTTAAGGCTAACGAATGCGGCTTTATAGTTGACGAATACCTGGAATGTGTCGATGAATTATTCCATGATTAGGCGCAGTGTGTAAATCAGGTTAATGGTGGATTTGCCAGGTCTGAAGCCGCATTGGTGTGGTCCAATAATGTCATTGACCATTGGCTTCAGTCGTTCACACAGTACGCTGGATAGCACATTATATGCGATGGGAAGGAGACTTATTCCTCAATAGTTGGCACATATCGTCTTGTCTCCATTGCTGATGTTGATGCTGATGTTTTCAATCATTGGGCATGCATGCTTCTAGCCAAATTGTACTAATCAGCTGGTGCATGCTCCTTACCAGTATCTGACCACCAGTCTTGAATAGTTCGGCTTGTAACCCATTGGCTTCTGCTGCTTTATTATTCTTCAGCCTATTGATTGCTATTCTGACTTCATCTTGGCTATGTGGTATACAATCTATACCGTCATCTTTTATGGGTCTGGGGTATCCTCTTCACCGCTACTATTTGATACCACAAGTTTTTCGAACTTCATTCTGACTCCTGCACATTTTGATTTGCTCACGTTGACGTTATTCTTGTTCTTTCTTCTTTTTCGGAAAATACGTTTCTTCTCTCTCCTTTTCTCCCGATAATTCTCCATCACATTACGTTTTGCTACTGTCTGCAGGGTTGCCCTATACGCTGCGTTTTTCACATCAGTAGCATTACGACACTGCTGATCGTAGCATGGATTTCTTGATGGTTTTTGGTACCCAAGTGTTGATTTTGCTGCAGTTTGCAGGGAGTGGGCAATTCTCTGCCATTGTGCTTCTATATTATTATCGGGACAAGGGGTGCTTTCGTCAAGCAGTTGGGTAAGTTGAGCGGAGTAGGCCTCGGCTAACTGTTGTGTTTGCAGATTTTCGACGTCAAATTTCCGTGTTACATTAGATCGCACCTTTGCTGCTACATTAAG